TGTGGTAGACTATCTCCTGCCTGAGCAGAGGGTGGGAGAAGACCACCCGAGGTCTCCTCCAACTATCTTTATTTTGTTATTCTGTTTCCTTCATTCATCAAACGCCCCTTTCCGCGAGGCGGCCTGCCGTATCCTAGGTATCCCCACCTAATGCTCGCTGCGGCTTCAATGGCTGCCTCCCCAAATTTTTCAAGCTGACACAGCTAAAAGCCACGCCACCTGGGAATTGTGACATTTGAAGGCTGGGGCCTTAAGGGAGGGTTCCACTTATTTCTGTCCCCACCCAAGAAATGCACCGCCAAACTTTCTCCCGCTGGACACCTGGCCGTTCTTGAAAGCCAGCAGCCCGTGGGTAGGTCGGAGGGGGGCAGAGCTTAGCCCTGCCCTTGCCAACTCCGTCGCCTTGGCGTGCTGCTTTTGTGAGCTTTATGGCTCCTTGTCTTATCTACCTGGGTGTTCTGGGCTAACCCACTTGCAATCTTCTCCAGATACCTGGCGAACACCTCGGAGCTTATCTGGAATAACCTTTCCCCTTTTTAGCAATTGTTTCTCCTCCCGCTGATGACATCCTAACTGCCTGCCTGGAGATAAGCCCAAGAAGGCTAGTGAAGATGGGATCTTATGGGAGGAAACCAAAAGCAGCCCGCAGCACCTTTTCTGACTCACACGGAAAAAGCAGCCAGCTCCCTTCGTCCCAGGGAAGGAACTCTCCCTAAGCTGCCTTCTTTAACGGATCAGTCCCCCGATACTGAAGGCCGTGCGGGAGAAATCTTATCCCTCGTGCAAAACTGGAGGATTAGCCAACAAGCCTTAGCAGGAAAATAAGAAGGGCACAGAAGTTTTAAAAAGTAGGAATTAGTCGTGGACTATCATCCCTGGAGCCTTCATTCATTCCATCAAATCAAGTCTTTGTTATCCTCAAAGATCAGAGCACCCCCCTGGAGCAGAGTCAAGGCGTAATCGGGAACTGATTCACCACCGGAAGTGTTTTTTTTGGCAACTTACGCTCCCTTCTATTGGGGACAAGTCCCTTTTCTATGACTCTGATAAGGCTTGTGATGAAACGTATCTCATGCATAATGGGAAAAAGAAAGAAAAAAATGCCAGGGGGATTTCTATTAACTTGCCCTTCTGGTTATTTCAGAAAAAAATCCCCCACTGTACGTTATTGTCTTAATACGAGTCCGAATGCACTTCCACATTTTCAAACAGGAAGAGCTGATTCCGTTTTATTCAGTTTCAGCAACATCAAACAACTTTTCCCGCCAGCAGTGTAATTTTTGAAAAAAACTTTTCAGGCTGCTTTCATTTTACAAGGCGAGGTAAGTCAAATCTTGGGACTCGCAGCCAGTGTTTAATTCTTAAATATACTGACTGCCTAATACACGCCAGATTGCATTATAAATACAATGCAGACACTCAGAAGAAAGACCAGCTAGTACCTCCGCCGGATACAGGTCAGGAAGTTCTAACTTTGCTGAGTTTTCTTCCCGTGTCGAAAATGATTTATTTTTATTGGTCTCTGCTGGTGTAACATTTGAATCTCGTTACACTGATATTTTAGCTTAAAAGTGGATTCAGACATACTTCAGAGATTGCTTTTAAGGGCATTTTTTTATTAAGATCCTTATCGAGGAAAAACAAGGGCTTGTTAGTTTTGTCATGCTTCTCCCTTCAGCAGCCTCTCTCCAGCTGCACCAAATTTGGAACAAGCCCTGCTTCAACTGGACTTTATTAATCTGCCAAAAATCAAAGCACAACCTGGGGGAAAGCAATTATTTCCAGCTCAATGATGATTAACAAGTTAGTTCCTCAACACCCTGGCAAGGAAGGCATGGCTGCTTGATAAACACTCGACCAATTAAGAGAATTTGGGAATCACAACACATTAATTCACTCGCCGGCTGGAGATAAAGCTCCAGTCCAGAAGGAAGGAGGTGCCTCTGGCTTTTCAGAAAGAACGTGAAACCTCCTCAAAAAGGAGAAACCGGAACCCTTATAAGAGGTTGAAACTAACAAGACACTAGAACTTCCAAAAACAAATTGCACCCTGAGCTCTTATTATGAGATTTATCCAGCACCCCAAGATGGGAGGATGCAAACACACACACACACACACACACACTATTGTCCTCGATAGGTGTGCAAGCTTTGGATCAAAAGCAGTCACAGAAAAAGAGAAATCTGATCAAGAACTAGTTTCTATGAAGCAAAGGTGGAGGAAAAAAGAACACATGGTTGAATGAGATTCTTGACTGGAGATGAGCACTGGAAGGAGGAGGAGGAGAAGGCCTCCTGGTTTCCCCCCCCCCCAGGGGGCAAACACAAGTGTTTCCCCCCTAGGGACTCAAGGTTAGCTGTCCCATTGTGACATTTAGCTGGCCCTTGCTGCTGACATGCGCTCAAAGAAAGATGCTGGGAGTTGGTGCCGGGGCAGTGACCTTACACAAGAAGTAACAGATGGTGGGAGGCAGGCCTTTTGTCTGGAGAACCCCCTCCCCCAGGCTCAAGCGTGCCTCGGGCATGGAGGCACTAAAAGGAGGAGTGGGCTCAGGTCCCTGCAGGGAGACACCGGGAGATGCCTACAGAGATAGAGACGGGGCCTCATGCAGCACTTATACTGACTCTCCATGAATGCAGCCTAATTGCACTCCAGATTAAATAATAGGCTGGGAAAAGATCGACCGTCATTAGTGGGTGTGGAACAGAAATCTAGACTGAGAGAGGAGTCTGGAGCAGGGGGGGAAAGACCCCCTCAGAGATCAGGCTTGGCTCCAGTAGGAGAAGGAAGAGCCAGGATATGGTTCAGCAATTGCAGAAGCTGTCCCTGTAGTGTAGGTCCAAGTTTTGCCTTACCCGAATGAGCCCACCTTTGGCTACAGATAGGTATAAAGCCCCTCCTAGCCCCCTCCACCCCATGTTTGATGCACAACCCGGTTTGGTGCAGCCCAGGCCCTGGCCCTTGACCCACACAACGACCACAAGCTGAATAAGAAGAGCGAGAAACTGAGTGAGTCAGAGGAAAGAAGCGGTTTTCTGGATGTGCGAAAAAGGGCAGCCGAGAAGTCAGGCAAGGCTCCTGGCCCAGACGTTGTATTTATAGAATCCCAGTTTTTGTTTTGAATCGCACACTCCTTGGCCTGACACAAAGCAGGATAGGAAACATGGCCAGAGTTCAAAGGCTTGGGGGGGGGGGAGGAAACATTCGGCGGAAGTCTTATTTTCAACAAAGGCTGACTCCCATACGTCAGTGAGCTGAGAATGCCAGCCAGGCAGAGCTGGGGGGTCTTCCTACACACAAGATGCTGATTTGCACAGGCGTGCACGGAAGAGGAGCACGAAAGGGGTGCAGGCGTGCTCCTCTTCCGTGCAGGAGGAGGATGGGCATGGAGAGAGGAGCCAGCCTGCCCCTGAGGCTGGCTGGCATGGATGCCACCTTCCCCCCCCCCCCCCGCGGTGCTCCCCATCCAAATGCTGCACCACTGAGCTCAGATGCCAAAAAGCAGGACTGACTAAGAGAAATCCAGAGAGGCAAGCAAGCAGGCAGGCACTCCGCAGCCGAAGGCTCCAAGCAGGAAAGCAGATGTCTCTGGAATGCCTGCCTTTATCCTCCCACCCTTTGCAGCAAACTCAGCCCTGGGAAGCAGGGTTTTTTTTCCTCTCCCCTGGGGCAGTTCTCACCCCAGGCCCACAGGAAGAGGGGCTCCCCGTTAAATCCTCTCCAGGGCTCCCCGTCAATTCCTCTCCCATTTACTGGGTTCCTCCAATTCTCCCTGCAGTGCCTCCCACAAAATCTTCCTTCTCAGCCCCCTTCCTCCTCTCTCTTCCCAGCCCCTTTTTTTGTGGGGGAGGGGGGAAGCCAGCTCAGGGAAGAGGGTTCACACCCCCTTGATACACAAAAGGGGGGCAGGCCTCTCCTCTTCTTCCTCCCCAGCCGTTCCACTCCGGCCTGTCTCCCCAGAAGCCCCCTTGGGCCTGGTGCTGCAGGGGAGGGGCCCCTTGCAGGCCCTTTTTCTGCCTGGAAGCCCCTTCCCCGCCTCAGCTCCCCATTTTCAGCTTCTGGTCAGCAAGTGGTCCTCAGCCTTCCTTCCCTCCTCCCCAGAGAAGCAAGAAGCCCCCTCCCCCCCAACCCATCCAGCCTCCCTCCCCTCCCCCTCCTCCTGGGCCTGGGAAGAGGCAGTCAGACGTTCCTGCCTGGCCTTGCCCACTCCCACTATCTTATCCGCAGAGAAGCCAAGGCCACAGAGGGGCCAGGCTCAGCCTTGAGCCCCTCATGCATTTGGGGGAGGGGGGAAACAGGGCAGCCCTGTCCCTGCCCCCCAAAAAGGCCCAACCCCCCAAAAATTCCATTTGAGACCATCCCTGCTTCATCCCATACACTCTCATGGCCTTGCAGGGGGGGCTCATTCATCTCTAGGAGGGCTTATGGACCCCTCCCCAACACTGGGCTCCTTTCCTTCCTAACCTGCAGCACAGGAACGGAGGCCAAGCAGCAATCCCTGATCCTGGAGGCTATCGACCTATTATAGCTAGGGATGCCAGATCAGGGGCTCCCCTCTCATCTCTTGCCACCCAGGGAAGGAGGGGCTCCCTTTCCTTCCCTCCTCCCACCCAGGAAAGGAGGCCAAGCAGTGATCCTTGATCCTGAAAGAGCAGCCCAGTTTGTCTGATTGGGGACCCCCCCACACACACACACCGTCTCTTGCCAGGCAGGAAAGGAGGGGCTCTTCCCCCATTTAGGGCAATAAAGGAGGGGCTATTCTCCCCCTCATCTAGGGCAGGAAAGGAGGCCAAGCAGCGATCTCTGACCTAATGGAACCCAGGCAGCCTGACCCCCCCCCTGCCCGCCCCGGAGGAGAGGAGGGGCTCTCTTCCTTCCCCCTCCCCCCTCAGGAAAGGAGGCCAAGCGGCGATTTCCCCCCCCCAACCCTCCCGCCAGGAGGATAGACGCGAGCCCCCCCACCCCCACCGGTGGGAAAGGAGGCCCCGCGGCGACCCACCTGCCCTTGTAGTCGTCCCTCTCGCGCTTGACTTTGGCCAGGACGTTGTAGAGGGCGCGGATCTCGGGCGTGATGGTGTCGATCTGGACGCCCACGCCGTCCGGGTGCACCCACGACACGCCGGGGCCCTGCAGGGTCTCCAGCCCGCCGCCGCCCGTCCGCCGCACCTGCCGGTAGCTCCAGATGGTGCCGGGCAGGCGGCCGTAGGGCGAGGAGGAGGCGGCGGCGGCGGAGGAAGCAGCGGCGGCGGCCGGGGAAGGGGCGGCGGCCGGGCCGAGGGGCGGCTGGGGGTCGGTCTGCACGGCCTGGTGCCGGGGGAAGCGGCGGTAGCGGAGGCGGCGCTCGCGCTCGCCCAGCTGCGCGGCCTGCAGCTGCTTCTCCAGCAGGCGGTTGCGGCGCTCCAGCTCGTGCACCTTGGCCAGGAAGCAGCGGAAGCGCACGTTCAGCCCCTTCAGCAGGTGCAGGTGCGAGCCCAGCTCGCTCCGCAGCGCCGAGGCCGCCGCCGGGGGAGGCTCCTCGGCCAGGGCCGCCAGGGCCGCCGCCTCGCCCAGCATCATCGCGCTCCCCCTCGGCCCGCTGCCCTCACCGCCCGCCCATCTGCGCGCGCAGCCTCCGCAGAGCTCGCGCGCCCGCCGGCGAATGAGGCGCACCCGCGCCGGACCGGCCGACGCCGCTTCGGGGGGCGGGCACGGCACGCCCTCGCCGACACGCCCCCTCCAGCCCGCCCGCACGTGCGCCGCGAGCTAGCGCGCATGCCCGGGCCGGCACGACCGGTCCATCTCCAGTTGGACGCAGGGGAATGGGGGGAGGGGGGGGAAAGACAAGAGAGAGAGAGAGAGAGAAGAAAACCAGATGGTGTGGTCCAGTTGAATTCTCTCCAGCGCGCATGCCCGGGCGGGCCGGCAGGACCGGTCCATCTCCAGTTGGATGCCGGAGGGGGTGGAGGGAGTTGGTGACAGAATAAAGTCGAGTTTATTTCTCTCCCCGGTTTTTTTTATTTTATTGTATGGTCTCTCTTTTATTATAAATGGGTTGTTAGGCTTGGAGATCCGGAAGGACAGAGGTCAACTAAAAAGAGTGGGCTTCAGCTGCTAGAATCCCCCCCCAGACGGAGTTGACCAGGGGTCTTCAAACTTGGACCTTTGATGACTTGTGGACTTCAACTCCCAGAATTCCTCAGCCAGCGTGCCTGGCTGAGGCATTCTGGGAGTTGAAGTCCACAAATCATGAAGGGGCCATAGTTCCCCCATGCTGGCTGAGGCATTCTGGGAGTTGAAGTCCACAAGTCATGAAGGGGCCATAGTTCCTCCATGCTGGCTGAGGCATTCTGGGAGTTGAAGTCCACAAATCATGAAGGGGCCATAGTTCCCCTATGCTGGCTGAGGCATTCTGGGAGTTGAAGTCCACAAATCATGAAGGGGCCATAGTTCCTCCATGCTGGCTGAGGAATTCTGGAAGTTGAAGTCCTAAAAGGGCCAAGCTTGAAGACCCTGGGGTTGACAATCAGCTGGAGGATTTGTAGTCCTCTTCATGGGGCTGAACTACATTTCCCAGCATGCTGCTGTGGACCAATTGGCTGGAAGGGCTAATTCTTGGGGGAGAATACTCCCTGGAAAAAAAGACCCCAGAGGTTTTTTGGGGGAGGGGGTGCTTTGACCAGCTGAGTCTGGTGATGCCAAACTTTGAAAATGGATCAGGTTCCCGTGCCAGGTTGAGCAAGGAAGAACCCACCAGCCATTGTCTCCCCATCTCTGCCGCTTTAAGAAGGACTTCAATTCCCACAGGTTAAAACAACTCTTTGCAGGCTGGGGGATTCTGGGAGTTGAAGTCCATTCCGTCTTAAAGAGGCAGAGGTTGAGAAGCACTGACTCAAATGAACACGGCAAGGGTCCAATGGCATCAGCCTGCAATATGTCTATTTTTAAACCCCTATTGCAGCTTGAACAGATATTGGTATTGCTGGCCGGAGAGGAAAAAAACCTATAGGACAATTTTTAAAAAAAGACTTATACGGACTTTTTGCAGAGAGGGAAAAAAAGACGCAAAATTGCATTTGGCTCAGTCACCGCAACCAGAGATTTTACTCTTCCGAGCTTTCAGAAAGAGTGCATCTTTCTGTATTTATTTATTTATTTATTGTCATATTTATGTAGTGTACATCGGAGGTGGTGACCCTATGAGAGCTGAATGCAACGAAATTTCATTTTAACGTGTGCCGATTAATGCCCGTTCAAATTGGCAATAAAGTTCTTCTAAGTATAATTATCCTGGGACAGGTATATTTGCCTTCATGAGAAAAAAGATGACGTATGCACTTGGGGAGAAAGCGTTGAACAGGGAGGGGAAAGATTAAGAGGGCAATTAATTAGCAGCTCGCTTCTCCCCCCCACTTTTATCTTGCTTTTTTCAAATACTTGCATCTGAAAATAAAACGCAATAAAACGTGTATCTGTTTTTCTCCTAAACAAAGATTCTCTTCATCCCTCCAGCATCTTCTGGGCTAATGGCCCCATGCGAAGGCATCTCCTCCCCAGCCCTGTGCATCTTTCACCAATTTCCATCCGCCCGTCCCGCCATCTTCCCCTTGGCGCCTCTGCAAAGAGAGAAGCACCTGTCCTCCCCACTCTCCTATCCTTGAAAAGGCCTCTTTGGGAGAAGCCTGCACAGTGTGTGTGTGTGTGTGTGTGTGTGTTTTCGTATAGGGACTGAAGAAAGTGCAGTTGTGCTGCTGCTCAAAAGCCCACTTGGTCTTGGTAAAGTGGTTCGTGCTGCTTCGTTATAGAAAGTCTGCAACAACAATAGACCTGAAATGTCTATTCACCCACAAAAATCAATCCACGCGCCTCCCTCTGGGCTCCTCCGGGTTCAGACAACCAGGGTACCAAATCCTCGGTCTTCAGCAGGTGGTCCCCCCTACTCAAACCCTGGAGCGAAGGGGTCGCCCACCCTGCCAGGCCAAGGGATAACTTGCAGATTGCTGAGTAAGCCGAGCGGCCTTCTGAGTGGCTTGTGTAAGTCGCAAACGTGCAATGGCACAATGGGGGAATCTCGCCAAAAGACACATCCCCGTTCACCACAGCTGGAAGTGGAAATTCATCTCGGTTCCCAAAGGAGCCTGGAGGAAGAGCCCGGCTCGGCTTGGCTCAGGCGGTGTCTCCCCTGTGCGTATTCCTGGCGTCCTTGAGGCCCGGGAGCCTCAGGGATTGCTGGGCTGGTCCCCGTCTGCTGAAATAATTAACCAGGGAAGGCGTACTCACCTGGCACAGGGACAGGTGTTATCTAAACAGGCGAGAGGCTGCACGGAGCAATTATGCTTAATTGTTTGTGCCTGGCAAAGGAGTCCTGGCAGAGAGCACTTCCCACACAGTACCTAAGATGCTGGGGAAGAGCTGGGAGGCACGGCGGAAGATGCCCACCCCATCGCCACCCCCTCTGCAAAGACCCTGTCAATGCTGCGACAAACCGAAGTGAAGCCATATTCATTTTGTCTTCATTTGCCACATATTACCGTATTTTCCGCCGTATAAGATGACTTTCTAGGCATGGAAATCGGCGCCAAAGTCGGGGGTCGTCTTATACACCGAATCGTCCTATAAGCTGGAAAATACGGTACTTTAGAGAATTTAGATGAAAGGGAGGATGGGGGGATGTAGTTTTCTCAGTTAGCCCAAAATTCAAATGTGTGAGAATCAAGGTCATTGCTGATAACATTTTGGCGGGTTGGAGAGCTGGGAGGAGAGCCCGCCTTTTTGTAACAATGGGCAAACGGGATTTATGACAGCAAAGTGGGGTGGGAAATTGCAATTTGTAACTGTGTAACCAGGGGGAGGGGATTTTTTAGTCTTGGGTTCACCTTTGTAGGGGCCAATATCTTGTGTCCTAAATAAAGTGTTCTTTGAGGAAGAAATCTTTGCCTTGAAGTTCTTTTAAACCAGGGGTCTTCAAACCTGGCCCTTTGATGACTTGTGGACTCCAACTCCCAGGGGTCTTCAAACTTGGCCCTTTGATGACTTGTGGACTTCAACTCCCACAAGTCATCAAAGGGCCAAGTTTGAAGACCCCTGGTTTAAACGGTTTCATCTATCAGAACCACGACGTTCCCATTGCTTCCGCATCCCACGCAAGAAGCCGGCAAGGGCTTTTCCCTACAATAACGCCCTCCTATTCGCTTCCTGAATTAGCCACAGCGAGGGTAGGCTTACACTGAGATCACCATCATGTGCCAATAATTCACGGCCCAACCCATGCCACCCCCCTCCCCAGACTGGCTTTCTGCAAGATCAAAGAGCCAGCATGCCTCAGAATTAGGCTTGGCCTGGCTGCTTCGTGCCAGACCAGATTGAAAAATCGCCATTGGGTGGTGTGTTGTTTTGGTTTTTGTTTTGCTACAGCTTCCTTATTTTAAAGTCGGATTCAACTTTCGTATTGGCATTTCCCTAACGGGCACCCAAGAGACAGGCTGGAGCGGAAGAGGCGGTATTTAGAAAACCGGATGAGTGAACAACCCCCCAGTACTGCCCCCCCTTGAGAAAACTATAGCTTGGCTCACTCTGGTTTCAGCACCGAAAGCCAATATATAGTCCTTGACGTATGATCAAAATGGAGCCCAAAATTTCTGTGGCTAAGCGAGGCATTTAATGAGCAGGTTTTGCCCCATTTTACGACCTTTCCTGCCATGGCTGTTAAGCGAATCATTGCAGTTGTTAAGTGGGTCACACGGACGTTAAGTGAATCCGGCTTCCCCCGTTGTCTTGGCTGGTCAGAAGCTCGCAAAAGGGAATCACGTGAAACCTCCCGCCCCGGGACGCTGCAACCGTCATAAATATGAGTCAGCTGCGAAGCGCCTGGATTTTGATCACATGCTGCAACGGTCGTACGTGGGGAAAACGGTCGTAAGAGTCACTTTTTGCAGCGCTGTAACTTCAAACCGTCACTAAACGGACCGTTGTAAGTCAAGGACGACCGATGCTTTACACTCTGGCAAAAATTGTTCCTTGGCTGTTTTGACGGAACCACCTAGAGGAGACCTGTAACGCCTTGACTGAACTCAAGCAGAAAAGGGAGGCCCTTTTGCAGGCAGGCCCAATATTTTTGGCGAAATCTCTTGCACAAAAGTTGGGTTGTTTTTTTTCCCACCAAGAAGGACACGCTGTGTGCGCAGAGAGGGATGTGGCGTCCCTGACAGGAGCTAGGGGCAGGTTCTTGCACGTCACCGGAGTGATCCAAAGCAGCTTCACAATTAAATGATTCAGAGAACCAGCCTCTCCCCTTCCCAAGGGTGACTTCATACCCTAAAAACTCGTAAAATTTTGGTGTGGAGGAGGAAAAATGGGATGAGCAATATGGGTAAGTCGGCTTGGCTTGGCCCTATAAGGTACAGGACTAGCAACCTGAAATGCATCACCCACAATTCAGGTGGCAGGAAAATAGAGTTGCTAAGACCCACCAAGGAGCCAAACGAGGACACGTCGCACCACGCCAGCTTGACTCACAATCACTCGGGCTACCAAAATCAACATTTACCTAGATGGAGATTCGATTAAAAAAAAAAAAGTACCGTACAGTGCCTAATAAGATCTCTGAAAATCTCAATCTATCTCAATCTGATTTATGTAAGGAGCAGGTTTT